TCAAGCTACTATAAATCTAATTTGGCATTTTAACTATACACAGAGTCAACAGCAAAAAAAACCCAAACAAACAACCCCCCCTGCAAGAACAAATTAAAAATAAACCCCAATATAATTAACAGGTTTTTGCCATGGCAGTCTCAACTGATGGTACTCTCATTACTTTATGAGTGGAGTCCATCTTACACCTTTTATTCAGTAGCCTAAAAACCTGCATTAACCATTAGAGGAAGCAAGTGAAACATATACCTTCTCTGTAACAGAAATGTCAGTTCTAACATGGAGACACAGTGAGGTTTAATAGCAAGCGAGCATTCTACACATGTATCCAAATAATGGAAGTATTGAAATTGGGACATAGTAAGAAAAAAAAGCACTACGGTTTTAAGCTGCCTAGATCATCTCTTGTTGGAAAAAGAGAAAGATATTTTGTTCTTCCTTCTTTCCTTGTCTGGAATGCTGCAGACAGCAAAAAGTCTGCAAAAAGTTGAGCATTGGCACCAAAGTGCAAAAAGAACACAGTGCTCAGTCAGAAGAAATCTGTCTGCAACTCCTTCTCCTCTACAGACTGCCACACCATCTCTGCTCCGCAGAGAGGAGAACCTTGGAAAAGAAAGAGTTACAGAGATACCAGTATAAAATTTATCCAAAGAAATATATTTTTTCAAATTTTAGCAAATGTTTTATTTTTATAAAAAACTTCGTTATGTGATATCATATATTTACCTGAATAATCTGAAAAAAATTCTGTAAATTACTCCAGTAAGAGATTTCACTTGAAATATCTGAAAAAAACTATATCTAAATTAGTAAAGATCCTCCTTTCTGCACAATTACCACCTCCTCCAGTGAACAATGATTTCCAGACTTCCTTTGTTCACTTTCATATAATTAAGAATCAGTTTCAAAAATACAAGTATTTGTGCAAAAGAAGATCATACCCTCTAGAACTTCATTTAAAAAAACCAAAACTCTAAGACTGTTAAGAAGTGGTTATAAAAATAAACAAGAAATACTCTAAGGGAATATAGACCAAAGATGTTAAAATGGAGTTTGGTATTGGCATTTAAGTCATGAACAACTGGTCGTCGCTGCTAGGCCTGGTGGATTCAGTGGAGTCATGATGACTTGGAATGACTACAGTTCTTCGTGGTCAGTGACATTTTATTTCTGCAAGAAAAAAACATTGTGGAAGGTTACATAAGCATTTGTAACATTTCCCATGTGAATGTCACATCAGAGTCAGAAAGTAACATTCTCTATGCAAGGGTCTTTGGTGTTTTTTTTAGAGGAAGGGAAGGTTTCATTAAAAATTTTTCATTTTTCATTAAAAAAAATATTGCATTGACTAAAGCCCCCTGCAGTCATTAGGCAAACAGTACTACACTTTCTTCAAATACACATCTTTCTTTAGAACATTTTTTCCCGTCCCAAAATTCTCATGTTATTACAATTGCAGTTGCTTGCACAGTTTACTGAAAAATTTAATCCACAACCTAGAGCATAAATAAAAAAGGAAGGTACTTGCTCAATTCAGTAATCCTTCAGAATCAGAATGCAGTATCTTTTACTTTTATTAGAGAAAACAAGTCTAGACAAAAAATACTGCTGTAGTCATCAGAGCTCTCATTGCCTCAGAAACTATGCAAAATTCATTGCATGACTTCATTGCCTTAGCACAGGAGAGCAACAGGCTCTTGACAGATATTCAAAGCACTTCAGGTGGTTTTCTTTTGTTTATATGACTAAATTTTTTCCCTAAGGTTTAACTGAAAGGCATCGTTAGTCAAACAAGTCTTGAGGTCTGACACAAAAGTAGCATGGAAAAAAGTCCTCTTTTATTCTCTCACAAGCACTGAGGAACCTGTAAAGCAACTGGCAAACTCAGACAACATCTGACACACTCCAGTCCTTTGCAAACAACAATGTATATGTATCTCAAAAATGAAAAAGAAAAAAAAAACTTCCTCAGACAATGGAAGGAATTTGAATGTTCTCCCCTCTATAAAATTTTTACAAAGTAGTTAAATACTTGATGAAGGAACAGAATCAACTTTGCAGCTCATAACTAATGTAGAAACGTGGTGCAAACCAGCCAAGATAATTTTTTCCTCCCATGACCCAGACCCCTCTAAAAAGATGTAATTACTTCTATAGGCTAGATCGTGTTGAGCACTGATTCAGGATTAAGGTAGCATGAAGAAGCTGGCACTTTCTACACACGTTAGAGAAGAGGCAATCTCTGCTCCCAAGACCTTTAAATTCACACTGATTAATAATGAATGCAAAATGTGATGGTAACACATAGAATAGTAAAATCCTGCAAATCCAAACCATCTGTTCTGCTGTCTCAGTGTATCTTTCTACCTTAGATCCTGTGATGGAAGTGCTGAAAATATGCAAGTGGTGGTTTGAGTGTGCATGTTTAATGTTGCTGTGTACCAAGGGACCAGTGAAATCACCCAGAGCACAGGAATTCTCCTTACTGCAAACAGCTCTCACTAAAGTGATGTGCATTTTTCCAAGCCTTCTACAACATTTATGAGTCATGTGGGGACTCATCAACACCCCCCTTTCTCACAGTTCAGTACAGTTCTCTGTCCTCTCCTGTGCTTTCAAACCAAAGTTGGAGCATACATGTTATACTCATTTTCAGTGTCACTAAGCAACAAAGCCACGAAACAAACCCAACTGAATGCTGAAATAAAGGTACACTTGTAAGAGACGCACAATGAAAAAACAGACATTTGTGCAGTGATTCTTATTTTTGGGTCATTTCCCCAAATGTCCCTCACAAGCAACCCCACCTGCATTGTTTTCTTTTGGTTTCTAGCATTATCTAAGGTGAAAATAATTTTTAAAAGTATTAATGCTACAATGTTTTCTCATGGCTTGTACATTTATGAACAAAAATTATTATGCCAGAAAAGCCTGTCTAAACACACATGACCAAAACAAACATCATAGTTCTAGTGCAACCTGTATGAGTTTAGGAAGGGCAATTGGAAGCACTTTGACAGAGAAGATGGATAAACTTCCTGCCTGCAGGCAGAGGGCAAGCCATCCTACTCTCATCCTCGTATTCTCCATGGCATTCAACATTGCTGCTCCATACAGTACTGCACACAGCAGGAGTTCAGGACAATCTCTCAGGAGAGTTATGCATACAGTGATGAGACCCAACAATTCTGCCAGCAGATAAGAAAAACTCTCACCCCAACACCATGGGCAGCCTCTTAACTGACCATATCCATGTCAACAGCTGGCAATGAATATTGGCACTCCCTCAGCCACACACAGGCACCCCACTGCTATCCTGATTTAATAAAAGAGACACCCATATGTAGATGAAATAAACTAAGGCTTTGGTCTATGTCTTTCAGCTGAAAATATGCATCTGTGATCAGACTGGCACAGGAAGAGTCCAATTCCTTGATAAAGGTCATGTTCCATGGAATAGCATTCGATAGATCCACTTCATATCCCCTCAACTAATCCTTGAATCTTTTCTCTTCTGGACCCCAGAAGTGATACTCAACTGTCAAATCTTCAGCTTTTAGGAAATTCAGGCACAGCAATAAAATGGATCCTTTTAACATGACAAATGATCAGGATTATGTGAAAAACATCCTCCCCTCTAGTAGCTTACATCACATTTGAAATCAAGTCAGTATCTCATTTTTCATATATTCCTGGCACTTCATGGCTGTGTTCACCTCAGCTAAAGCTGCAGGCTGAAATTTATAATGGGTAGTTTCCTTGGGTAAAGAATTTTGCTCAATACTAACAGAATGCCAGCCTGCACAGGACACAGAAGTCTCCTGTCCATGGGCCACAACCACCATTCTTTAAAATATTGACCCGGGGAAATAAGAATCATGACTATTCTCATTTCTTTAAAATAAAATGTATTTCTTTTACCTTGTCTCCCCCTACATCAACATTGATCAAAGTGCATGGTAAAAGACTGAAGTTGTACTAAAATAATTTTCTTTCTTGAGATGTTCCAGTAATAGTGCTGCTCTTCTAGCTAAATACAGAAGCTGGTCAGTAAAAAATCAGAGATCTCCTAATGAAGGCTTAAACCACTGGTTTTTAAATGTCATTTCTTTATAAATCTCTCCCACTGATATAACCATTTAACCAGTAACAAAACCTTTTTTCTTGAATCTGAGTCTACCATTAACAAAACCATCAAGTTTGAAAAAACCTGAAGCATGAGTCTCATACCAGCAGCATGACAAGCACAGGAAATCTGAAGCTTTACACCCCCAAATGGTCACCGAGCATTAAGACATTAGCCTATAATGAGTGCAAGAGCAGATTTATTCAGTGTTCATCCTGATCTTCCTGTTCAATACATGAAGGAAAACTGCGTTGTAGTTTTTTCCTTTTTTTTTTCTCAACCTAGAACAGAGGGTCTAATAAACTAACAAGACTTCAATCAGCTTTTTCAACTGATAAAAGGCTTTGAAACTCGAGCTTCCAATACATTTACCTTCTTGCCTGGGAAAGTGATAAAAGGCCAAAAATTTCAGTGTGTTTAGGATTAAGGATTAGCTGATTAAACTCAAATGTCCAAGTGTGTCCTTTCACTACTGAAAACTACACAGTCTTCTCACTAAACAAGCAAGATGTTAGGCAAGAACTATAATTGTGCAGGTTAATAGAAAAGTGTGACATCATTCATATTTTGCAGAAAGAGCCCAAACTCACTTCAATATAAACTATAAAAACCTGACCAAACATTGTAGAAAATGCCATGAGAGTCCTGTGACAAAACTGGGAGATTTATATAGGGAACATTTGCAACTGAAAATGTCAGATTAGACCCAAGATAAACATTCTTACACTAATAGTCTTCTATTAGCACCTGTTTCAACTCACCCTTCTGTGAATGCCTATCTTAAAGATGACCCATATATTTCAGATGAAAAGACATGAAGGCAACAGAAAACTGATGCCACGTTTTCCTGTGTTAATTATATACACAAGCTTACCTGAAGTATTTGCTTGAGGGCATTTTTCATTTTAGTCTTCATCTTCCTCAGCAAGTTCAGTTTCTTTGTGCACCACCACTCTCGTCACAGACATATCAGGGTGCTGTTCTTTGGCTTCTTTGATTGCCTGTGCCAGGGCCTGCAAATGTATTTGAAATAAGGACTTAAGGAGACGAAAAGGACATTCATGTGGAGCCAGAGAATAGGAGAGTACCTTTGGAAAATTTGGTTAAAATTTTGCAGAACTGTAAATTCCTGAACTTGAGATCTAAGGTAAAAAAGCCAACCAACCCCCAAACCAAACCAACTCCCCAAACACAAAACCCAAATGAAAGGGGGAGAAAAAAAAAAAGCCAACAACAAAAAAAACCCCACCATGTTAAAAATATACTGAGATTTCCAGGCACTAACAACCGTAAAGCTGCAAGATGACTTCCTAGCTCATCTTAGAGAAAGAAAGTATTTCTAGATTTCAGAATTTTCTCAAAATTTGCAAAAGATCAAACAAATAATGCCTTAGCAAGAGTATAAGATAGTACAGAAAAACAAGAGTGCCCTTCAGTTTTCTGAACAAAACAGAAAGATACTTTGGAAGAGTATACTAAGTACGGGACTGTAACTCTGCAATAAGCTCTTAACAGAAATGTCTCAGCACAAGAATCCCATTTTTCTCCTTGTACTAGTTTAAGAGAAATATCTCTAGCTTAATTCAGAGAAGTGTAAATGCAAGTATTATTCAGTTGCTTATAATCCCTGCCCATTTTAAGAAATGCTATCATCTTCAGAGATTTACCAATACACCCAGTTGGATCAGATGACCATCATAGATCCCTTCCAACTGAAATTTAGTATTTTACTTTATATCATCGTCAACCAAATAAGAACATTCCCTGAATCATCACAGGTGAAACAGCACCTGGGACCTTCTCTTTCTTGCCCACATCTTGTTTCAGTGAGCTGTATTACTGCTGGAACGCAACATAAGAAAAAAACAGAAAACATGGGAAGGTATTCAGAAGCAACAATTCACCTGTTCACCTTAGTACCAAATGCAACTAAAAATCCCCCAAGATACTAGAAGGAGCAAGAAAAATATAATGCAACAAAAAAGTTCATCTTAATTTAGAAAAGTGACTTATTTCCTGAGCTAGCTACAGGTATTGAGAAAAGAAGTAACTAAATCTGAAGAGAGATTGAAAATACCAGCAATTAGGCACCCTAACTATTATGTGACACTGAATTTGAAATCCTATTAAGGGAATATGTACAGGACACATGATGTGCATTGGTATAGGGAATATGTGCAGGACACATAATGTGCATTGGTAAAAAACAGCAAATATCAGTTTTATAACAATCAAAGCATAAAAAATAAAAAAACCTTAAGACTCTATATTACTTGTTGTAATTTACCAGTTAAACATTTGTATTCTGCAACTCCAAACTGAAATATTGTTTTCCTATTGAAAACTGTTTCAATGATATAGGGAGCTAACAGACAAAATAAAAAACATCCAGCATGTATTTTGGGCATTTCAGAAGCTCCATACTCACTTTAAAAAAGGTAGATATTTCTTAAATCTCTTAAAAGCTGCTCACTGCTGTTTTAAACTTCAGTGATTAAAATTGTATTTTGTACTTACTTTTTTATAATTTCATTTTTTACTTCATTATTCACATATCCCAAATTAAAGTGCTTTGAGAATTGTCTGGTGCACTAAAGATATTTTGTGACTTTTCCAGACACTTGAAGTGTACTCAATGTGTGTCAAGGCAAAAAAGAACCATCCATGCCTGATGGTAAGCAGCCCTGTCATTTAATTACGAATTTCAAGAAGAGATTCAACTTGCTAAAAGACACTTTCTGGACACAAATCAAAATGTGAAAATAAATTCCTTGAAAACTCTCTATATATTACAATTCATAAGTTAAACTGAGTCCTGTTATGCTGATTTGTGAAGCCTGCACAAAGTTAGAAACTCATTCACTGCAAGGCAGGCTTTTCCATTTGTATTAACCAATGACTGCTGATTGCCATTGCTACTATAGTTTCTTAGATATAAAACCCCCATGTAATCATCACTACAAAGACAGAAATTGAATTTTCACAATTATTTTCCTGTGTAGTGCAAAAAATTCAGCCTTATTAATTGGCCAGATAGAAGTGATTTTAACCTCAGTTTCTAAGATATCATAAAATACTGATTTAGTACTGATGGGAGATAAAAGGTAAATATAATAACAGCAGATCAACAATTACTTTTGTTACACATAATTCTACAAATACTGGCAAAAACAAATTTTAAATTCAAATAGTTAATGTTCTAATGTATTTCAAAGCTTTCAATCAAAATGAGTGCTGCATTCAGTTGTTGCTGAAACAATGCCATAGAGACTCCCATCTATCCAGGTCAGCGTATCAAAAGAAGATTATTTCAGTAATGTTTTTCCTCCCAGTACAAAAGCTGCACTAAATAAACTGGGTCTCTTCCAAAAAAGTAATCCCTCTAAAAATAGCAAAAATCCATTCACATGATCTGTGATGCAAATTTACAAATGCTGGTTTTCTTTCACATATATTCAAAAGGCTTCTTAATAGCAAAACACAACTATTTATTTAATTTTTCTACCTTTTTATTACTTCAGATTTCTGAAACATCATCTAGATCTCACCAGACTACAAAACCCACACTTTAATTGTTAAGTTCGCATACTCACCTCATCATGGTCAATATCTGCATCTCCAGTAATGACAATGCGCTTCTCAATTCTTGTTTCTGATACTCCACCTTTTACCATCTGCAGATGTCAGAAGAAACAAACAAACAGGAAAACATCCCTGTAATTATTCCATATTTCCACAAAGCACAACCTTCTGTTGCACTGAAGCAGCAGTGTCTGAGTTGTTCTGTGTCTGAGCTGCAATTAGCAGTAAATGTGCTCAGTGCTAAGCCATCCTCTCCTTTTTCAGCTATGCAGTTGGCCACCTTCTAACAATTGCTAAACTTGATAAAAATCAAGCAATAGAAAATGACTCCTTTTACTGGAGACCATGTTTGGCAAACTAATTCCAGGTTCTTCTGCCATATAAATCTGGAAACACAGAAAGTCCAGGAGTCTTTTCTTTTATTTCAACCCATCAATCATGGGCCCCTCCACAATCATAATCCTGTGACACTAAATACAAAGATGATCTGGTTTTCAGTTCTGTCCTTCAAGGACCTTCATCAGATATTTTCAACATATTTCACCCTGCTCAACAGTTTTGTGCTTTTTTCCTTCACTTCTTATTCTAATGATTAAAACACTTAAACTTATAAAAAAATTCTCACATAATGTTATCTGCCTTTTAAATCAACCTATGTATGAGACAAGAATAAACTACTAAAGATACACTGACCAGAGTAGGGAAGAGCCAAGAAGACACTCTTAAGAATGCCATTAGAATATTCAAACTATTTTGGAAGGTCCCTTTACCAGTAATTAACACTTTGCAACGTAAAATCGAAAGTCAACTTAGGAAATTCAATCTTGCTACTGATGGCTTATCATCAGTTCAAAAAAGATACAGATCTGCTGCATCATGGTAATTTCAGTAATTTTTCAGTAGAAGACAAGACTGAAACCATTTTCTTTAATTGTTCCTTCCAAGAAGCAAGACTATTTGACATGTGAACTTGACAAGAAAATGTACGCTTCCTGTCAAAACTGTGGTTCAATTAACTGAATAAAGATTTTTTTTTCCTAAAATGGTGGTGGCTTAATGATTCCAAAAAGGAGCTGAAGTCTGAAAAGGATCTGTTGAGTAAGCTTTATAACAAATGCATTTTTAACACATGCATTTTTAATTCTAAGCTTACTTTATTTCTTGTGACTCACTTTCCAGTATTATTCTTCCACTATCATTTTGTGCATATGACTTTGAATCTCCAGAATATTTCAGTCTTTAGAAAATATACCTGGTGAGCAGTGAATCATTGTTCAATTCCATCATGTTGTAAAACTTCTCTATCTTGGGGGGAATCCTGAATTCATGCTTTTGTTTCCCTCTTCCATTTTTCTTTACCCTAAACAATGCTTTCTACGATGGTCTTAGAAAAAGGAGCTAAGAGTTCAAAGAAGAGCTGAAAACTGTGTTGTTTAGGCATGCCTAAAATTTGACAAATATTTACTTAAACTAGCAATAACAATAATCATCATTACGCTTTGGTAGTTCTAACACAGAAATGAAACATGCAATGTTTCATGCTTTCCATGAAACAGATGTGATGCCCTGTTAACACTGAGTTTTCCTTTCCTTTTCAAGCATGCATTGCAGAGGAAATGATTCAGCACCCAAACACGCTTGCAAAGTAATAGAACAGAACGTTCTGGTTTTAAATATACCCTAAACCTAGAAGCATAAGGACGATCAACACAAAGTCTGGGAAACATTATTTCAGCTCATCATGGTGCCATCAGCAGGGCTCCAGAGGACCTCAGACAAGTTAGTTACACTTGCAAAGATTCTGCAGGGTATCAGTGGGTGAGGACAGGACTGAATCTGTAAAAATTTAGTTACATACTCATTTGTCAAACACTGAAAAAACACCTATATGAACTACTGAAAAACAACTAAGCATATTTTTCCCCCTTTCCATGTCCTATTCCCAGATATTCCTGCTTATTCATTAGGACTTCTGTCTTCAAAATCTTTACAGAACGATTTAACACTCACACATGTCTGGAATAAATCTCTTCCATTTCAAGTTAGTTTTCCCCAATGAATTAGCAGATCTACAAGAAACTTCATGTAAAATTGTGAGGTTTGAGGGTCTGGTGTCTTTTTTAATTAAGAAAGACATGAAATGTATTTTACCTTTGTGATGTGTGTAGTTGTGGTAGTAGAAATGGACTCTGATGTAATTGTCTGTGCACTCACCAGCACACCGGTATCACCAACAGCATTGCCATCAAGCTATAAGAAAAAAAAGGTATTATTGTATATTGGCATTTAAAAAATGTTGTTTTCACAGGAGAAAAGGCTAGTTTTCTAACTGAATGCATTCTTTAATTCATCTAGAAGTGAAATCTAAATAGAAGCCATCCAAATTCACAGAGTCAGGTAAGGCTATTCTTATGGCCCATTCCCATGGAGAATTCATGGTCACAGTTACATGTTCCTTTCAGGAGCAATGAGATATCTTAATCAAGATACCAAAACTGGATTAAAGTGAGTTCTATTTTTGTAGACACCAACTAAGTCCTTATATAGAAAAAGAAAATCTGAACTTCTTAATATGGTTTTGTAACATTTCACTTACCTAATTCACAGCCAAAGTATAATCTTATCTGCTAGGAAAAAAGGATATGCTTTTGAAAAGCATTTTTGGACATGATCTATTTTGATTTATATAACTGGAATAAAAATAAGATTTCAAACAAACCAGTCACGGTACCTGTGAAGATTCATATGTGATAGTTTTAGTTTCTGTTTGAACAATTGGAATTTCTTTAGTGGAGATTTCAGTTCTCTGTGTGGCATCTGAAATGGTTACCATCTCTGTTTTCACTACTGGAGGCTGTGATGCAAGAAATAAACAATAAATTCAAAAGACAAAAGAAGTTTTGGGAAGTGGACCAAGAAAACACAACCAAAAGCTCAAGAAAAGCATAACAGAACGATAAATATTTTACTGACTTCCCATACAAAAAACATGCAATAAATAAGCAAAATGAAATGAAGATTAATACATCAGCCCTCTAGGATATCCATTACATTGCAGGAAAATCTAATCTAAAAACCTTTCCAAAGTTCAGTGTTTCAGTCAACAGCACATACCAAAGATCAACTGCTAAAACAAAACTACAATATGTGTATTGAAAATGTGTACAAGTATCACTATGAAAAAAATTGAAATCATAGTTTGCAAAAAGAAATTGACAGTTTTGAGGTAATCTGAACTAATCTGGGAAAATACCTATCAGTATCAGGAAAAGACCTCCTCAGTCTACAAATCAGGACCGGAAATTCCGTAAAAGTTTAACTTTTTAATATGGATTACTTCTGGTAAAGAAAAGCTTTTGAAAACTAGATTTTAAGCAGTCTAAATTTTTCTGGAAGTCAACGCCTTCTTTTGACAAAGATTCTAAAAAGCTACTTCAACAATTTTGAGAAAACTAGTGGTGTTCTCTGCAATATCACAAACAAAGCAGTTAACCTGGGGTCTGTAAGCTTGTGAACTCATTACTTATCTTATTGGAGCAGATTTTCATTAGATTTAAGAACTAAAGCCTTTTGATATTTTTCTAGATGCATCAGCTGCTATCTTATATTGATTTTGAACACACTAGGGTAAAAACCTAGGAAAAAAACCAAACTGACTTTCATGCTTGCACACACAGTAGCCCTTCCTTCACTTTCTCCAAACTATCTATGCTTTTAGGAAGTGGGGGTGCTTGCAAATTTTAAAAGGCTAGTAAACAAATTCTTTCACATCACTAATCAGAACAGCTATATATCTGCAAGACAACAAAAGAAAGAATGTGAGCTGTTTTGATTAAAAACTGAAGAAAAAAAAGATTGCCACCATTACAAGAATAAGCAGGTAGAGAACTACAAAAAATCCACTGAGCTGGTGAAAAACTCAGCAGAAGATCATGACAAAGACATACATGCCTGCCTTTCATTTTTTCCCTTTCTGCTTTTTTATAATTTGCCCAGTAATGAACTCTTCAACCTTGCTTAACTTAAAACAACTGGTTGTGACAGGAACCCACGCCTGCTTCCTAAGAATCTACTGCCCTAGAAGATCTGACAGAAACGTTGTGATATGAGCCTCACCACGTAACAGTGCAGTGCTCTCACCTATGCAATTTCTAGACATACATATTCTAGCCTACAAATCCCTAATGTTTTATTGAAGGAGGGTAAAAAGGGCAAGAAAAACAGTGAGTGAGTACGGGGGGGAAAAAGGAACAAAAATTTGTCAGGTGCTTTCTAATTTCAATTTGCAATAGTTTTCCAATCACAATTATATGTCATGGACTTGTCAAAAACAGTTGACAAATAGACAAGACAAGACTTAAAACACTGGAAACATGTAAATAATAAATACACATTATGTATGTGCATATAAAATACGGAGGAGATAAAAAAAAAAAGAGATCTCAGTCTTCGGAAGGTTTGCCTTTACTGGTGATTTTCACTCAGTTCTAGCAAAAAGTCAGAAACCATAACTGAAGGAGACAGAATTTCACTGCTCATCAATGGTTTCCCCTTCCAAATGATCTGAATCTTGTTGGATGCCAGAAGATGTGGAGGAATAGGAGAAGAAGAAAGGCAGGTATATTTTCACCCCAAGAAATAATCTCTGCTTAATCTAGTTGTCATACTGTTCTACCATTTACCTCAGAACAACAAATTAATTGTGGTGCAACATCAATGTCAACATGAGACACATCTCCATTGAGTTTCAGCTGTTCCTCCTCTTTTTCTTCACCTAAATCTTGCTTAATTTGCTCTGACAAATTCTTCTCTTCTGTAGCTACAGTAACTGTATTTTCCTGGACCAAATCTTCAGCTGTAACTTGTGTGTGCTCAACTGGTACATTTAGTTTACTGCTTTCTGGTACGGCTTCCACATGCTGCGTATTTTCTTCATGTTCTTTCTTTTTCATGTGTTCCTCTTCTTCCTGTTCTTCCCTGATGACATCCTCAATTGCCCTATGATGTGGCTGGTATTCTCCCATCTCTTCATCCTCACTCTCACTACTACTGCTGCTGCTGCTACTATCTGATGGCAATGATGAAGAGTCCTTTTTTGACACGTGCTCCACCTTACATGTCTCCCCAGCATCAGTGGCAACTTGCATTTTCCCTTTGTTGGTTTCGTCTATGACTACTGTTTCTTCTATCCCAAACTCTGCCTGCTTCTTCTCCTCCACTATGTCCAGAGTCTCATGTGAACTCTGCACAAAAAACATGGATGAGGGTAAACAAAAGTAGAGTATATGAATAAATTAAAATGCGGAAACAAAATTAGCTGGTTCATGTCATATGGAAGACAAAAGATGGCTGTGATGGTTAACTGAAAAAAGAAGCAAGGAAAGAATGAAGATGGATTGGAAGAGTTAGAACCAAATTTAGCCACGGAAAAAAATCTGCAGAACCTTATCAGCATCGCTGACTCCAGTACAAGGCCCTTCTGCTCTGGAAGCATGTCTCTGTGAAACAAAAAGCAATCAGAGGACAAAAATCAATGCATAACCCTTCTCAACAGTGCAACATCCTCCAAGCAAGCTTTTAAGAATGTATACACATGATACTAGAGAGATGCTACGTATTCACCGCAAGATGCTAGCTGCCTTACGCTTTACCAAAATATTCGATCTAAAGTAGGTAAGAATTATGGAAATTATTATTGGTGTAAGAATTGAATTATGAAAGCCTGAAAATAAGAAGCGTGAATGTACTAGCCAGTGACGCTACCGAGGGAGTTATTGCTCTCAGTTAAATCAGGAATTAAGAATAAATAATATTAAAGAAAAATAAACAGAAAAAATAATGCTCAACTACCAGTTTGCCATAATTTAAAAAATAGTAAAAAAGGTGTTATTGGAGGGTTTTATTAGTTATTTGTCTTTGGTCTGTTACCTTATACAATTTAATAGAAAATGAGAAGAAGACTGCTTAGGGTAGGTAGTATGTTGTCAGAATAGCAATACACGATTACCAAGAAGATCCCGTAAGAACTCAGTCTGGAGCCAAAAGGATGATACTAAAGTAGCTGTATTAGTATTTGTTCCATAACAAAATAATAACGGCTATCTGAAAGCCCACAGTAAATGATGTATTAAGCTGTCAGGGTTTTTTTAATCGAACATACTTTTAGTGAACGGTCTGCGGCAAAATTAAGAGCTCGAATGAAAGGAACACAAAAATCAACACACCATCTGTGACTTAATCCTACTGCTGTTTACCTAGCACAGCACCTACGGAGCGCAAGCTTAGCCAAGCGCTGATTCCTCCCTGTTTTGTGGCGTGCTGCAGACGCAGAGTTAAGCCCTGAGGCAGGCACGCCGCTGTAAGGCAGGCCGGGACGGACGGGAGCAGCCCGGAGCCGTCCCCGT